CCTGCCCAAGCAGGGTCACCCAGAGCAGGCTGCACAGCACCACGTCCAGGCGGAGCTCGAATATCTCCAGAGAAGGAGACTCCACAGCCTCCCTGGGCAGCCTGGGTCAGGGCTCCGTCACCCTCAGAGGGAAGAAGTTCTTCCTCATGTTCAGACAGAACTTCCTATCAGATCCACACTTGGCACGGTCCCAAAAACAAAATGTCGGGCCTCTGCGCGGGGACTGGGGCTCTCGCCCTCCTCCCCGGCTGCCAGACACAGACAGCGCCTGGCACGGACACGCAGCAACAGCTTCGTCAGTCCCACAACACACGCGACTGCGAAGCCGCCCCGCACAGGGAGATGGAGGGGGCAGAGGGCTTACCTGAGGCGGTTCCTGCCCCCAGCTTGGAGCCTGTCTCGCCGCTGGAGGACCGGTAGGCATCGTCCTTCGAGGCCGGCCCGTCTGAATCCCTGTCATCCAAGAAGTTGCCATCCTGCGAGCCCCTCAGAGCGTCTGCTTCGTCCCCGTTATCTTCCTCGTCACTGCAGCCCTTGGGCTGCACCATGTAAACCCCTTCAGGGGGCACCTCCGTGCTCTCGGCGCCCTTACATTCCTTGCCCTCCGCTCGCCCCAGCAAGGGCTCCTCATTGTATTCCCCGTTCACCCACTTCTCGATCACCTCCCTCCTCTTGTCCTCCTCGATCTTCTGCACGCGGCTGAGCCCATCCGAAAACTCCGTGCCCAGCTCCTTGGTCCCAGGCTGGGGCAGGTCCTTGTTGCCGCTCTCCCGCTGCGGCCCCTTGTCCGCTCGCGCCTGTTCGGCTCCCCCGTGGTCGAAGACGACCTGGCGGCTCAGCTTGGCACAGATTGCATTTAGCTTCAGGCCGCCTTTGCGCTTGGCAGCCATTGTGGGTTTTCCTGAGGTTGCGTCAGTGCATATAGTTCTTTCAGCTGGAAAGAGAGAGGGGAGAGAAGCAAGGAAGGGCGTTAGTGGGATCAGACAACATGAACCCAAACAGCAAATGGCCGGTCCCAGCCCAACGGGCCTGCAGGCATGGCCAGTGTCATCCTCTGATGGCTGGGACTGCGTCTGTTTCCTGAGCTCTGAGCGGCAGCCCAGCCAGGAGAGCCCGGTGAGAGGCACGCTCGGAACCTGCTGGTACCAACGGATGCCGCTGGCCTCAAGCAAGAGGCGCATATTTATGCTGGGACTGAACTGGGCTCAAAAGGCCCCAAACATCTCAAGCAGGTGAACGTGGTAGGGCCCAGCCTTCGCTCCTGGCTCAGGCAGGATGTGGAGCCTGTTCAAAGCCTGACTTGCTCTCTCCTTCAGACTGCAGCACCACCCGCTTTTAGCTCCCCAGCTCCTTCCCAGATGCGTTGGCTGCCAAAACCACACCAGCCAGTAACTGCACCCCAGCACCCGTAGCAGGGAGAACAGCTTCCCAAGCCTAACCCAAGGGACGGCGAGGAATTCCCTTAACAGGGTTTACACATAGTCTCTGAGAAAAGAACCAGTATGGACCAGAATGAACCAGTACAGAGGACAGGAGCCCTGGCAAGTGCGTGCACTGGAGCACCAGACTGGTGCGTGGCAGTCATATGGGAGAAAATCGCCTTGGGTTGGTATCAGTTGATCAGGCCCCTTCGTCTGCTCACTCGCTCTCGCACACAGGAAATTCTGCTCTCACACTTCCCAGCACAATCAGCTAATTAGTGTGGGTTTGTTATTTTAATGTAGTTTATTCATATGTGACAGCTAGTAAAGGAGGGGTAAGAGAAAGTGGGGGGAGAAAGGAAGAAGGTAAGGTCTTAACTTCAAGGTCACAGAGAATCGTGAACTAAATGGTCCCTATCACAGAGTCACTTGCATAATTATTGCACCAAGAATTAACAACATTCAATCATAAATAAAAGCAAAAAACTGATTCTAAAGCAGCTGCATTGTCTCATTTCCTTCTTTATGTATGATACCTTGGAGAGACACCCAGGCTAAGCAGGGTTAAAGGTCCCAAGGCCAGAAACGTGCACCCAGCCTGGCTCTTCCCCCAGTGCGCAGTGCCGAGGCAGAGCCTGCTCTGCGTCCCGGGGCTCAGGAAGAGCACCCAGTAAAACACGCCACTGGAGTTACTGTGGGGACATTGCTGGAGCTCCCTCCAAAACGTGCTCTTGGACTTTATGTCATGCTGAAAGAGGGGCCCATAACACGGAGAGTGAACAGAAACCGTCTCCAGACCTGAAATGGTGAGAACGGGTTCCTCCATCGCACAGGAGTCCCTCGCGGCAGCTCAGCCCACACCTCCCTGTCACCAGCACGGAGGTGCTGCTCCACAGAAGCACAGTGAGATTAATCAGACCCCCTACAATGCATCCAGAAGCCATCATGACAGCCCCTAATCCCATGACATGACAGCCCAATACAAACAGACTGAAACTTTAGACCTGCTGTCCAAGAGCCAGAGAGTGGCTGCTTAGCGTAAACTCCTGACAGCTTCAGACACGCTTCCCTGTCAAGGCCTGCAAGAAAAATACCCCCTCAACAAATATATCAGCCCCCCACACAAAGGGAGGCAGAATGTACTCCTCTGCTTTCCAAATGCACAGCCCCCCCAGCACTAACACCTACGTGCAATCATGCTTTCATGAAGGGAAAGCACACGTTGCCCCCAAACACATACCTCCCCACCTGGAAATTATAGCTGCTCAAGAGCTGTGTGTATGCGCTGGCACGCTCCATAAATGTCATGCACGCACGGGTTAAAAAGTCCCATCTCCCCAAAATACATTCCTGTACGCTTCCCCACGCATTTCCCTTTCACACATTCCCCCAACACACGCGCCGAGTCCTCACGCATACAGATGGGCACAGGCAGGCGCCCAGGAAGCTGCAAAAGTCTCTGTGTGCTGGCACCTTCCCTTCCCATCACATTCCCACTCTATTTAGGGCAGAAAACGAAGGCCGATCCTATGCGCAACTGGTACCACAGAGGGAATCTCGGGAGGCTTCTGTGAGCTCCAGCTGGAGCCTGGCCAGGACACCTCCAGCTCACGCCTGTATGCTCGGGCGAAGGGCCAGCGGAGCCTCGATGGCTGCAGGTGGGTAGGACGGTGCCTGCCGCGCGGCGCGGTGCCTGCCCGGGGCTGGGGCACTGGGTCAGCGCTGAATCACCGGCGACGCTCTCCCGAACGCTGCCTGGTGATTCCCCGTCCACGTTCTCACGAAACCCAGCCCTGCTTAACTGGTGAGATCAGCGCCGCTCGCAGCTGGAGATAACTGGGAGGCAGACACGCGGCAGCCCAAATCCCCGCTGCCCTCCCTCCTGCTGCAGCGAGGGCAGGTCCCACTATTCTGGTCTGGAGGTGAGCAGCCAAGTGCGTGCACCAGCCGGCAAACGAATATATAAATATTTATTCAAAGGAAGAGAGGAACAGAAGTTCCCGAGGCTGCACTTGCCGCGTACGCAGCAACTCCAGGGAGCCTGCAACTTGTCTTCCATTCCTGTTCCTGCCTCCTTCCATGTCACACACCCTGGCTTTGCCCCTCTGCCTCCCCAGCCTCTGCCCCGCAGCTCCTGCCCTTCCCCTCTGCACTTTCCTGTCCCTTCTCCTTGCGTTTGTGACTTTTTGTGAGCACAGCAATGCTGCTCTTTAACATTTCGAGA